TTTTTTTTTTTTTTTTTTTTTTTAGACCAAATCTTGCTATATTGTGTAGGTTGACCTCAAATTCCTGGGCTCAATCAGTTCTTCTGTCTCAATCTCCCAAGTAGCTGATGCATTCTACCATAACTGGCTTATTACTGAGTTTTATGTAAGGATTCTTCGCAGATCTGGAGATACAGCTCAGTGGGAGACTGCCTGCATAGTATGTGTGAGGCCCTGGATTCAAGCCCTAGCACTTCTAATGGAAAAAAGTTTTGTATATTTCAATGCCAGTCCTTCATCAAATAAGGCTTTTGAAAAGATTTTGTCCTAATCTGTGGCTTGTTTCTCATTTCTCCTCCCTCATTGTTTCCTCTTTGTCCTGTAACTTTGCTATAATCACTTAGTGATTCTAGAAATATTTTGTCAATTCTCTTATATTTTCAGTGTGGTACAGTGCCTGCCTGGCAAGCACAAGGTCCTGAGTTTGATTCCCAGTACCAAAAAAAAAAAAAAAAGTTTTAGTTCTTCCTTTTCCAGTGCTTGGGATTAAACCCCAAGCTTCACACATGCTAAGCAAGCGCTCTACCACTAAGCTGTACTCCCAAGCCTCATTTTCTCTTTCTTTTGTCTCTCTACCCTGTTTTTTGAACCCTGGCCTTTTGCGCTGAGCTACATTCCCAAACCTTTTTATTTTGAGACAGGGTCTTGCTAAATTGCTCAGGCTGGCTTCAAACTTGGGATCCTTTTGCCTCAGCCTCTGTCATTGCTGGGATTATATACGCCTCTGTACCAGGATTGTTTTCTTAATATCTTTCACAGAAAAGTTTTTAACTTAATAAAGTTCAGTTTATCAGTTTGTTGCTTTTATGGATAGAATTTTTGGGGTTGTATCTAAAATGTTTTTGCCAACCCCAAAGTCTTCAAAATTTTCCCCTATTGCCAGGGATATAGCTCAGTGGCACAGTGCCGACCTGCAGGCACAAAGTCTTGAGTTTGATTCCTGGTACAACAACAAAAAAAAAAGATTTTCCCCCATTTAAGCTGGGTATGGTGGTGCATGCCTATAGTCCCAGCACTCAGGAGGCTGAGGCAAGAAGATCACTGTGAGTTTGAGGCCAGCCTGGGCTACACAGTGAGTTCAAGGGCAGGTGCACTAGTGAGATCCTGTCTCAGAAAAAAAGAAAAAAAATTCCCCTAATTAAGTCTAAAATCCATTTTGAGTTCTTTTTTTTTTGGTACCAGAAATTGAACTCATGACCTTGCACTGGCCAGGCAGGTGCCATAGTGCTGAGCTATATCCCCAGCCCTTCATTTTTATGAAAACTGCAAGATTGCTTTTTTCTTTTTTTTGGCATGTGGCCATCCAGTTCTAGTTTGAAGACTAGTTTTTCCCTGTTGTATCTGCTCTTCCCTCGTTGTAAAATCAGTAGACTATATTTGTGTGGGTTTATTTCTAGGCCCTATATTGCTGCACTGATCTTTTTGCCTATTCTCTTACGAGTACCCACACCATCTTGATTACAATAGATTTATAGTAAGTCTTGATGGCACATAGTGTCAGTCCTCTGACCTTTTTTTTTTTCCTTCATATTTTATTGCCTTTTTTGGTGCTCTGCCTCTTTATTTGAATTTTAAAATCAATTTGTTGGGGCTGGGGATTTAGCTCATCGGCAAAGCGCCTGCCTGGCAAGCGCGAGGTCGTGAGTTCGGTTCCCGGTACCGGAGAAAAACCAAAAAAAAAAAAATCAATTTGTTGGTGATATCCACAAACTAATTTGCTAGGATTATTTTTATTAGAATTTCACTGAGGCCAGGAGTGGTAGTACATGCCTGTACTCCCAGCACTCAGGAGGCTGAGGCAGGAAGATCGTTGTGAGTTCGGGGATAGCCTCAGCTACAAAGTGAGCTCAAGGCCACCCAGAACTGTTATCAAGACCCTGTATCAAAAAAAAAAAAAAAAAAGACCCTGTCTGAAACACACACACACACAAATATTGAGTCTTCTTGTTCTTTTTGTTTGTTTATTTGTTTTCTTCCAGTACCGAGAATCGAACTCACGCCCTAGCACTTGCCAGGCAGGCACTGTGCTGTTAAGCTAAATCCCCAGTCCCCGTCTTCTTGTTCTTTAGTATGAGTCTCCACTTAATTAGTTTTTCTTTGATTTATACCATCAGAGTTTTATAGTTTTTCTTGTAAGTATCTGATGTAAGTTTCTTTTTTTTTTTTTGTCTTTCGGAGACAGGATCTCACTATGCAGTTCAGGCTGGCCTTGAGCTCACTTTATATCCCAGGCTGGTCTCAAACTAGCAAGGATCCTCCTGCCTCAGCTTCCTGAGTGCTGGGATTACAGGTGTGCACCACCATACCTGGCCTAAGAATATTTCTATTCTTTTTGGTTTTGCCTTTTTTTTTTTTCTGGTACCGGGAATTGAACTCATAACCTCGCGCTTGCCAGGCAGGTGCTGTGCCGCTGAGCTAAATCCTCAGCCCCTTAAGATAGATGTTATCCTTTTGTTCTCATTTAATGAAGAAACTGAGGTTCAAAAGAGTGGCCAATTTCACTCAGTCAAGATCAGAACCTGCATCTGCTGGCTTCCTTTTTTTTCTTTTGGTATCGGGAGTTGAAAGCAGCACTTGTGCTTGCCAGGCAGGTTTTGTACCACTGAGCTACATCCCAGGCCCTCATCTGGTGGCTTCTAAAGCTTTTGGCTGGATATGGTGTCATGCACCTGTAATCCCTGCTCTTGGGAGGTTGAGCCAAGAATACAGTGAATTCAAGGCCAGCCTGAACTACACAGCAAGACCCTGTCTCAGGGGCTGGGGATTTAGCTCAGCGGCACAGCACCTGCCCAGCAAGCGCAAGGTCATGAGTTTGATTCCTGGTACCGGAAAAAAGCAAAGCCAAAAAAAAAGAAAAAAAAGACCCTGTCTCATCCAAAATAAAGCAAGCAAGCTAGCTAGCTATGTGGTTTCAATTTATTGTCTTGGTACTAATAAAGACAGACATTCAGAGCAGCTTAGTCCTAGAAAGTACCTAAAGCAGAGGCAGTGTTAAGAAACAGGACATAGCTGTGCTTTAAACAGCATGGCTGTGGTACTGGACTGACCCGGTTTAGAATCTTTTTACCAGTCCACCATGGCTGTGCATGCTATAATTCTAGTACTCTGGGAGACAGAGGCAGCAGGTTCTCAAGTTCAAGCCCAGTCTGTGAACAATCATGACTTATTGAGACCTTGTCTCAAAATTAATTAATCAATTTGAGATAGGACCTTGGTGTGTAGGGAAGCCTAACCTTGAACTTTTGATCCTCCTGCCTCAAACCCCTGAGTACTCGAATTATAAGGAATTATAAGCATGCACTACCATGCCTGGCTAACCTTCTTAATTAATATTCTTTCTTCTTAATTATTCTTAATTAGTGTTCTTTCTGGTAGAGAAAATCAAGAGATGAGTTTTAACGTCTGGACTGTCAAAGAGATGCTCAGTGTTCCTTCAGGCTCTGGGTAAGTTTTCTGGTTACGTTCTCTGATATTTAAGAAAGTCTCAAAGTTTCTTTTTTTTTTTCAAGGTTTCATAGAAAGAGGGTCTCCCTCGTGTTAGTTTGTAGGAATAGAGATACCCCGTACTGCCTCTTTTTCATCTTCATCATTGCTGCTCCTTCCTGTGTTTGTCTTTTTCATTCTGCTCATTCCCTGGTAGGGAGTCAGTCCAGCTCTGTGCTAAGTGAGTAATAACTCTGTATTCTAGCACTGGGTTTGCACACTGTACCTATGAAAATTGGACATGGTCCAACATGTAGCATCTGACCACAGCTGGGGCAACTCTGCTGAAATGGTGAAGAGAAAAATCAAATCAGTGTTCATTTATGAGTTTGACTGTATAGTGGAATTGGTAGATATTATGGGTCCCGAGTTCAATTCCCGGTACCAAAAAAAAAAAAAAAGACAATAATAATACTGCCCACTCCACAAAAAAAAAAAGTTCCCATTCCATTGCTCTACTGAGGTACTTAGATCAGTGTCCATCAACATACAATAAATCTGTTATTGCTAATTTGGAGGGTACTCCCCAGTAGTGTATATATAAGGAAATTCTAATTTGTTTTGGTATGCTTTTGGTATCATTAGATCTTTTCCTCCCTAACACCTTCAGGAAGGAAGTTATTAATTGATCAAAAACCTACAGCACTTTCTCTTTTTCTTCTCAAAAAAAAAAAAAAAGTGCTTATAGGTGATACAAAGTAGATGAAAAAATCTTTAATTCCAGGTTGTAGCTGGGTGTGATGGTGCACACCTGTTATTCCAGCACTGGGGAGGCTGAGGCAGGAGAATCACCTGAAGTTAGAGGCAAGCCTGAGTTGCATAGTGAGGCCATCTCAAAAAAAAAAAAACAAAAAGAAAAGAAAACCCCAAATTCCAGGTTATTTGTTCCAGATATAAATCTTACATGATTTCAGTAGGATCACAGAGCTTTTTGTTTTTTTTTCTAGTCTACTTGATTATTGCTATTTTGAGCAATGATTATGCAACCCATATTACAATGTACATGAGAAGCCCATTATTTTAGCTAATCTCAAGAAAAGGTTCTGTGAGTAAAAACAATTGCCCTTATACTGAACTATTGAATTTCTTTTAGTTTTATTAATAATATTGCTTATAATGATACATAAATTAACTTTTTGGCTTTTATGGATAATATGAACATTTCTTTAACTTAGAGTATGTACTTACACACAAATCAGTTTAATTTAAACATTTGGAAATAGAGTGATTTGTGGGTAGATAAGTGTGTGTTAATGAAAAGCTTTTATTCTTAGGTTATTCAATAGCATTAAATAATGGTAATTGTTCGTGGGATGTCTTTTTTTGCCCTATAATCCCAGCAATGAGGAGACTGAGGCAGGAGGATCATTGCAAGTTTAAGACCAGCCTGGGCTACAAAGTGAGCTTAAGGCCAGCCTGAACTACATAGCAAAAGGAAAAGAAAAAAAGAGTTTGAGGCAGGAGGATCAAAAGTTCAAGGTTAGGCTTCCCTGCATACCAAGGCCAGCCTGAACTACATAGCAAAAGGAAAATTCTCAAAAAGGAAAAGAAAAAAAAAAAAGATAGCTTTTTTTGTTTGGTTGGTTTTCTTTTTCATTTTTTTGAGGCAGGGTCTCACTATGCAGTCTAGCCTGACCTTGAACTCATATAGTCCAGGCTGGCATTCAATTCATGGCGATCCTCCTGCCTCAGCCTCCTGAGTACTGGGATTACAGGCTTGGCTATCTTTTTTTGTGTTTTTTTTTTTTTTTTTTTCGAGACAAGGTCTCCTGTGTACAGACCTTTGGACTTACTATGTACCCCAAGCTGGCCTCAGACTCATGATGATCTTACCTCATCCTTCCAAGTGCTGGTATAACAGGCATGTGTCACCACACCCAGCTGAGATATCTTTAAATAAAATCTTCTTAAAAAATTTTTTGACAGTATGGGGGTTTGAACCCAAAACTTTTATAGTAAGCTATAGCCCCAGCCCCTCCCCTTTTTTTGAGCCAGTCTTACTAAATTGCCTAGGCTGGGCTCAAACTTGTGGTCCTCACTTCAAACTTGAGGTTTATTTTATTTTATTTTGTTTTTGTCTTTTTTGAGACAGGGTCTCGCTATGCAGTTCAGGCTGGCCTTGAGCTCACTTTGTAGCCCAGGCTGGTCTTAACTTGCAACGATCCTCCTGCCTCAGCCTCCCGAGTGCTGGGATTACAGGTGTGTGCCACCATGCCCAGCTTCTCTTTTTTTTTTGGTCTTTTTTGCATATGTGAGGTTTACAGACTGACATGAAGGATAATGGGGTTTAGAAATTATCAAAATATATTTATTCATGTTCAAGTATCCTAAATGAAATCCACTATTCTGTATGACTAATATACACTAAAAAAAAAGACTGGCATAGATCTCCAAGGAAAGCAAGTTGGAAGCTCATAGATGCATATATTTAGTTTTTTGGGGTTTTTTTTTTTGGTTTTTTTCCGGTACTGGGAATCGAACTCATGACCTTGTGCTTGCCAGGCAGGTACTGTGCCACTGAGCTAAATCCCCAGCCCCATAGATGCATATATTAAAGCAAGAAAAGAGAAGACACTAAAAAGATGAAAACACCTATATCAAAAATTTGTTTTGTTTTGCTTTTGATGTTTGAGACAGGATCTCAATATATAGCCTAAGTTGGGCTTGAACTGGCCATCCTCCTGCCTCAGCTTCTTAAGTGCTGGGATCTCAGGTGTATACCACCATACCCAGCTTTCAAAAACATTTTTCTTGGATACTTTTGTGCACAGATTTGAGTTGATCATATGTTTCTCTGTGGATGAAACCTGTCTGCTCAGGCTGCCATAACAAAATATTACAGGCCAGGAGTGAGAAATTTATTTTCCTACAGTTCTTGAGGCTGGGGTCAGTGTGAAAACCTGGTTGGTTTCTGGTGAGGCCTGTATTCCTGGCTTATAGGCAGACCTCTTTCATTACCTGTCTCCCCATGACTGAGACAGAAGCCAAGGTATACTGTACGTGGGTGGAGGGCATCCTGAGCATTTCCTAGCTGTCTGATGTCTCTTCTTTTAAGGACACTAATCCTATCCTGCCATGAGAATCTCATCTAAACCTAAGTACTTTCCAAAGGCCCCACCTCTAAATACCTTCATTTGTTCAGTGTGCCTAATGTAGGTTTAAAAATTCACATAGCTGGGCATGGTGGTGCACACCTGTAATCCCAGAGCTCGCAAGGCTGAGGCAGGAGAATCCTTGCAAGTTCCAGACCAGCCTGGGCTACAAAGTGAGCTCAAGCCCAGCCTGAACTGCATAGCGAGACCCTGTCTCAAAAAAAAAAAAAAGAAAAAAAAAAAGAGAATGTTCTTTTAATCCCTAAAAATTTTAATTTTATGAACTTTGATATCCAAAATGGTGTTACAGCCTAGAATGCTGTAATGCAAGAAATAAGTGTTAGTTTTTTCTGTTTGAATTTTTATTTGGTGGTTCCAAGGTTGTTATAATAAAAATATGTGGCATTTAAAATTTCTTTTTTGTTTGTTTGTTTGTTCTGTTTTTTTCCGGTACCGGGAATCAAACTCATGACCTCACACTTGTCAGACAGGCGCTGTGCCGCTGAGCTAAATCCCTAGTCCCTTAAAATTTCTTTGTTAAAAAATAAAATTTCCTTGTTGCCAGACTTGATGGTATACACCTGTACTCTCAGTTCTGGAGAGAATGATGCAGGAGAATCACTGTGAGTGTGAGGCCAGCCTGGACTGCATAAGCGAGTTCAAGTCCAGCCTGCACTATATAGTGAGACCCTGTCTCAAAAAAACCCAAACAATTTATGTGTGTCTTTGTAGGTAGTACTGGCAGAGTGTAGGGGTCTTAGAGGTCAGAAAAAGCTAACATAGCTAGCATTCTGCCCAGAATATTCTGAAATTGTGAGGCATGAATCACATTTGTTCAAGATACTAGCCTGTGTGTGTGTGTGTGTGTGTGTGTGTGTGTGTGTATGTTTATTTATTTATTTTTTGGCTTAATTTCAGGACCACTAAGTCATCTGCCTGGAATAACAATCAGACTGATTATTCTGCTCTCAGTGATTCCCAATTCCTCTTTGGATCTCAGTTTTGCCCAGAAAATTCAGAGACCTTGTCAGCACCCTTGGACTTGGGTGCTCACTCGAGACATGCAAAACAACTACAGCAGAACCCTCTGGATGTGAGTCTGATTTCTAGAACTTGTCTACACATATTTCATGGTCATTATGAAGATAAGCTATGAAGATTATTCTGTTGGAATATATTTATTTATTTATTTATTTATTTAATCATTTTGAGACAGAGTTTCACTATGCACTGTAGGCTGGCCTTGAGCTCACTTTGTAGCCCAGGCTATCCTTGAATTCCAAGGTATCCTCCTGCCTCAACCTTCTGAGTGCTGAGATTACAGGTGTGCGCCACCACACCTGGCCTGGAATATATTTTAGAATTGTACATTTCTAATGACTACCATCCTGAATCAATTTGTGCTTTATTGGTAGCTCATTTGATGTGGTGATTTGAAATGAAGAAAAAATTATATTTGCATTTATCCTTTTACCAAAACAATGTAGAATATTATTGGTCCCTTGAATACTTCTAGGGAGAAGCAAATCCCATTTCTTTTTTTTTTTTTTTTTTTTTTTTTGTCATTTTGAGATGGGGTCTCGCTATGCAGCTCAGGCTGGCCTTGAGCTCACTTTGTAGCCTAGGCTGTCCTTGAGCTTGCAGTGATCCTCCTGCCTCAGCCTCCCTGTAAGTGCTAGTATTACAGATATGTGCCACCATGCCCGGCACAAACTCTTCTTGCTGTTACCTTTTATATTTTCTGAATCTTGAGAAAACCTGGAAGAACTTCTACATATGGATCCTGAGAGGCGGTTGTAGGAAGGTTCCCATGCCTCAGGTTGATGTCAGGTCTAGGCCACCCTATTCTTTTTTCTCTTTTCTTTTCTTTTCTTTTCTTTTCTTTTCTTTTCTTCTCTTCTCTTCTCTTCTCTTCTCTTCTCTTCTCTTCTCTTCTCTTCTCTTCTCTTCTCTTCTCTTCTCTTCTCTTTCTTCCTTCCTTCCTTCCTTCCTTCTTTCTTTCTGTCTTTTTGAGACAGGATCTCACTGTGTAGTTCAGGCTGGCCTTGAGCTCACTTTGTAGCCCAGGCTGATCTTGAACTTGGCAGTAATCCTCCTACCTCAGCCTCCGAAGTGCTGGGATTACAGGTGTGTACAATCACACCCAGCTAGGCTACCCTATTGAAAAACTGCTCAAATTTTTCTAAGACATGCAGGGCATGTGTTCCAGGATCTTGTAATTAATAGGTCATACCTACTCTCCCAGCCAGATTTGGTTTTTCTTTTTGTTTTTTTGTCTTTTTGAGACAGGGTCTCGCTATCTAGTTCAGGCTGGTCTTGAACTCACTTTGTAACCCAGGCTGGCGTTGAACTCTTGGTAATCCTCTTGTCTCAGCCTCCTGAGTACTGGAATTACAGGCATGTGCCACCATGTCCACCCCAGCCAGTTTTGCCACACCCTAATCTCATGTCAGTATAAAGGAATAAATGTGTTTACTGAATGTTTCAGGCTGTATTTCCTAAGAATGCAGGAAATGATGAGCTGGTGTATTTCCTAAGAATGTGTGTGGTGCATTCAATAATGATGCATACCAGAACTACTTTAATATACCATCTCAGAAACAGTAATTTCTGGTTTGTTTTGTGGTTTTTTTGTTCGTTTTTGGTTTTGGTTTTGGGGGGGTTTTTTGTCTTTTTGAGACAGTCTCACTGTGTTCAGGCTGGCCTTGAGCTCACTTTGTAGTCCAGGCTGGTCTTGAATTTGCAATGCTCCTTCTGCCTCAGCTTCCCCTGGGATTACAGGCATGTGCCACCACGCCTGGCAGTAATTTTTGTTGTTACCTATAAATTTATGCAACTGATTTCAAGCCATTTTAGCTAACTGTGTGTGTGTGTGTATGTGTATGGGTGTGGGTGGTATGGGGATTGAATCCAGGGCCTTCACATTGAGCTACATCCCCAAGCTTTCTCCTCCTCCTCCCTTCCTGCCCTCCCTTCCTCTTTTCTCCTCTTTTGTTTCTTGTTTTTTTGCATTACTGGAGATCAAACTCACAACCTTGTGCTTGCCAAGCGGGCACTTATGCCACTGAGCTATATCCCCAGCCCTGCTTTTCTCCTCTTGAGGCAGGGTCTCAAGTTACTGAGTTGCCCAGCCTGGGCTCAAACTTGCAATCTCCCTGCCTCACTCTCCCAGAGTTATGGGATTACAGGCATGCGCCACCACACCCGGCCTTAGCTGACGTGTTATGTGTCTCTGTGCTGACACAGACTTTATTAGTAAAAAGAGTTGCCTTATTATAAATAGAATTTTCTGATAGATACAAAAAATAAGCTGGGGATATAGCTCAATGGCCCAGGGCCTACCTGGCAAATGCAAGGCCCTGAGTCAGATTTCCAGTACCAAAACAAAATTAACATATAAAGGAGCTGGGGATTTAGCTCAGCGGCACAGCGCCTGCCTGGCAAGCACAAGGTTGTGAGTTCAATTCTTGGTACCAGAAAAACAAACAAAAAAAAATTAACATATAGGGTACTTTATTTTAGCAATATGGTTTTCAGATAAATATGATTCTAAATAATAAATTCTATAATATCGTTATAGAAAATAATGAATTCTGTAATATCATTATGTGTAAAATGGTATATTGGTTTTTTTCATTTAACAGAGTGAACCTAGTATTTTCACAAAGTACCAGACAAAACCCCACCTCTTTGGAGGAGAGACAAAGGATGAAGGGTTATTTTCTCTTCCTTTGCCAGTTGGAAAATCGAAATGCCTCTTGAAGCAGTTTGAGGAGAAAAACCAAAGAGCAAAAGACAAATATGACAGGTATGGCAACTTTTCAAATGGAAGCAAATCTGTGTTTCCTGAGGGAACAAAATGGAATGTCAGTAATCAAATAATTCAGCACTCTTGGAGGCTGAAGCAGGAGGATCACAAGTTCAGGGTATCTTAGTGATTTAGTGAGCCCACCTGTGTATCTTAGTGATTCAGTGAGCCCACCTGTGTTCCCCACACGCTGGGAGGATGAGGCAGGAGGACTGCAGTTTCAAGTCCAGCCTGGGCAATTTAGTAACTTTACAGAGACTGTTTCAAAATAAAAAGGGCTGGGAATGTAGATCAGTATGGCCTGGATTCAGTCCCCAGTCTGCAAGAAAAAAAAAAAAAAGGGTTTGAGGATGGAGCTCAAAGCAAAGGCCCTGGTTTCAATCCTTAGTACCAGTTTTAATAAATCGAATAATTAAATTTCAGCATCATAGCACACATTAAGAGTTCTCTAGGGAAGCAAAATCAGTAAGATTCATATATATACAAGTAGAGACAGAGAGACAGATAACAAGAGATGCAAAGAAGGGGCATAATGAAACACGCCTGTAATCCCAGCAGTCAGGAGGCTCAGGCAGGAGAAGCTCTGTGAGTTTGAGGCCAGCCTGGACTACATAGCAAAACACTGTCTCAAAAAAACAAAACAAGCCTGGCACGGTGGCGCACACCTGTAATCCCAGCACTCGGGAAGCTGAGGCAAGAGGATCGTTGCGCGTTCAAGGCCAGCCTGAGGTACAAAGTGAGCTCAAGACCAGCCTGAACTGCATAGCGAGACCCTGTCTCAAAAAGACAAAAAAAACCAACAACGACAACAAAAGAATGACAACAACAACAAGAAGATATGAGGATTGATTTTATTACAGGAATTGGCACACAAGATTGTGGAGGCCAAGAGGTCCCATAATCTGCCTTCCACTAACGAGAGAACCAGGAAAATGATTAGTCTAATTCGGTCGGAGTCAGAGGGCCTCAGGAAGGAGATAGATGGCTGCTGGTCTGAAGTCTTGGAGTTTGAAGGCCTGAGAGGGAGGAGTGCTGATGCTCAAGGGTGGAAGATGGGTGATTGAAGAGGAGAGTGCGTTTACCCTTCTTCTGCCTCTTTCTTCTGTTCAGGCCCTCAACACATCAGATGATTATACGGGTTATCTTCTTTCCTTAGCCTAGCAATTCAGAGGCTTGTCTCTTATGGAAACTCTCCTGCAAACATACTGATAACTGATGTTTCACCAGCCATCTGGGCATCTCTTAGCTCGTTCAGCTTAACATACCAAATAACCACTGCATAGCGCTCGTGCCTTCCAGTTCGCATGGTGCGTGTGCTCCTGTTCCTGGGGATTGAACCAGGTGCACGCTACCACTAAACAACATCAACATTCTTTTCTATTTTTTTTTTTTGTTTGTTTTTTTCTGGTACCAGGAATTGAACTCATGACCTTGTGCTTGCCAGGCAGGCACTGTGCCACTGAGCTACATCCCCAGCCCCTCTTTTCTATTTTTGATTTTTGAGATGGGATTTTCCTAAATTGCTCAAGCTGGACTCAAACTTTTGATCTAATAACTTCAGCCTCCCAGATTGCTGGGATTACAGGCTTGTGACTGGGCACTCATCTTAGTTTTGGGGATCTTTTCTTTTTTGCAGTATTGAGAATTGAACCTAGGGCCTTTACACTTAGGTACATCTCCAGCTCTTTATTTAAAATGTTATTTTGAGAGAAGGTCTCAAACTTGCGATTCTCCTGCCTCAGTCTCCCAGAGAGCAGGGATTATAGATACACATACTGCCACAGGGCCCATGGCCCGTTTAGTTCTTCTAATAATGTGTGCCACCACACCTAATGCTTTTTTGTCAATGTGACGTGGTAGATTTAAATAAAATAAGGCTGGCAAAATTTTGGCCTGAGAAGTAAAAAACTAGAGGATTCCTTAGAGAAAATGTGTATTTAAATAGTATTGATTCTGTCTAAAATTTTACCCTCTAGTTTGTTATTCTTTTGGATTATCAGGTTTAAGGTATTAAATAACATTATTTATTTAGGATGAAGAATATAATGCATTAGCTTGCTGTGCTGGTACATGCCTGTAATCCTTCCGTTTAGGAGACTGAAACAAGAGGTTCTTAGATTCATCCCAGCCTGGGCAGTTCAGCAACTTAGTGAAAATGTGTCTCAAATTTTTTTTTTAAGAAAGCCAGGCATAGTGGTGCACGCCTGTAATCCTAGCACTGGGGAAGGCTGAGGCAGGAGGATCTTTGTGAGTTCAAGACCAGCCTGGGCTACAAAGTGAACTCAAGGCCAGCCTGAACTGCATAGCAAGACCCCGTCTCAAATATTAAAAAAAAAAAAAAAAAAAAAAAAACCAATCTGTTCATAGTGTTGCATATCTAATTCCAGAGCTATCTCCCTGGCCCTACTCAGGCTGAGGCAGGAGAATCACAAATCCAGCCTCTGCTATTTAGTGAGACCATATCTCTAAAGAAAAATTTTAAAAGGTCTGGGGATATAGCTCAATAATATAGTGCTTGCTAGCATGTGGAGGCCTTGGATTCGATTCCCAATACCACAAAATAAAAATACCATGAATTTGAGGCAGGCATGGTGGTGCACACCTGTGATCCCATCATGCAGGAGGCTGAGACAGGAGGATCACCGTGAGGTCAAGGCCAGCTTAGGGTACATAGTGAATTCAAGGCCAGCTTGAACTATAGAGTAAGACCTTGTCTCAAAAAAACAAAACAAAACAAAACTATGAATTTCTTTTTTCGCTGAGTATTGAACTCAGAGGCTCCGGCATGCTAGGCAAGTCCTTCCTTATTGAACTGCTATACTGCACAAATTCTTTTTTTTTTTTTTTCTTTTTGTACAGGGAATCAAACTCAGGACCTTGCACTTGCCAGGCAGGTGCTGTGCTGCTGAGCTATGTCCCTGGCCCAACTTACAAATTCTTTAGTCATGCTTCAGGCTGGTTTTCTGACTTTGAAATGTTTATATTTTTAAGGTGTATTCTGAATTTTTTTTTTTTTCTGTCCTTTTGAGACAGGATCTCACTATGCAGTTCAGGGTGGCCTTGAGCTCACTTTGTGCCCAGGCTGATCTCGAACTCACAAAGCTCCTCCTGCCTCAGCCTCCCAAGTGCTGGGATTACAGGCACGCGCCACCATGCCCACCTCTATTCTTAATTTTATACATATTATTTATTAGTAAATGTGAGATGAATTAGGACTGCTAAACTAGGTGTGATGGCCCACACCTGTAGTCCCAGTTCCTCCCACACCTGTAGTCTCAGGATAAGGCAGAAGGGTCACTTAAAAACCATTCTGAGGCATACAGTGAGACCTCATGGCTGGAGTGGGGATGAGAGGTGAAAATGAGAATATGAATAAATTATACTGGCTACATATATTTATTTTTTTTGAGACATGGTATTGCTATGTAGTTTGGACTGGCTTTGAACTCACTGTGTAGCCCAGGCTGGCCTCATATTTACAGTGATCTGCCTGCCTCAGCCTCTCAAGTGCTAGTATTTTTTCTTCTTTTTTTTTTTTGTTTTTGGTACCAGACATCGAATTCAGGACCTTGTGCTTGCCGGGCAGACGCTGTGCCACTGGGCTATATCCCTGGCCCTTAAGTGCTACTATTACAAAAGGTTTGCTCCACCATGCCCAGCACCTGTGTTCATTTTTATGTAAGGAAGTTGGTCAGAGAAATTAGTTACTTGGTAGTAAGTTATAAAGTTGCCTCTTTAGGTTTAATAGGCAGCATACTTAATTATTTCTATAAAAATGAAGATCTATTACATAAATCCTAAATATGTGTTGGAACTCATAGAATTAGGCTGGGTGTGGTGGCACACACCTGTAATCCCAGCACCAGAGAAGAAAGCTGAGGCAGGAGGATCATTAAGAGTTCAAGGCCAGCCTGTACGATATAGTGAGACCCTGTGTCAAAAACAAGGGGCTGGGGATGTGGCTCAGTGGTAGAGCTCTTGCCTTGTATGCAGAAGGCCCTGGATTTGATCCCCCATACCACCAAAAAAAAAAAAAAAGCATGGCTGGGGATATAGCTCAGTGGCACAGGTGCCTGCCCTGCAAGTGCAAGGTCCTGAGTTTGATTCCTGGTACCAAAAAAACCTCATAGAGTTGTTTGTATACTAACTTCATTTTTATAGTCAATATAATGGTAAAACTAAGATGTGTCCAGGGATTTTGGACCACCACAATGAAACCACTACTTTCTGAAGTCATGGTTGCTGTGAAAATGAAAGCTGGTCTTTCCTACTTTGGTAAGCACTTGACCTACTAAGATTTACTCTTATTTAAGATGCATAATATTTTTAAAAAGGTACGTAATATAGATTTTAAAAAGAAAAATGTGATTTTCCTTGGAAATGGTTACAATTAATGTTCTACTTCTCTTCCTTCTGGGCCCCGAGGTTTTCAGTTCCCTGTCTAATCAAGCAGTGTTTTGATGCTTTCCTAGAGGGACACTTGCCATATTCATGGAACCAGTTCTGTTACGTGTTGCTTCAGTATCTCACAAAAATTTGTTGTCTTTTTTTCTCCTACTCTAGTGACACTGTATACAACTTCGTTTCCCAGGTCAGAGAAAGCATTCAGAGGGTAAGTTAGCTTCATTTCAAGGAGTTAGAACATCTTACTTGAGACCTTTAATAGTTACAATGTATTGCTGAGCGTGCTGGTGCATGCCTGTAATCACAGCTCTAGGGAGGCTGAGGCAGGAAGGTCACGAGTTCAAATCCAGCATGGGCTTCGAAGAGAACTCAAGGCCAGCCTGAACTGCATAGTGAGACCCTGTCTCAGAAAGACAAAACAAAATAGAACAAAACAAAACAAACCCAGCCTGGGCTACATAGTGAGTTTAAGGCCAGGGGAACTACGCAGCAAGACCCTGTCTCAAAAAGCCCCCCCCCCAAAAAAAAAATTATAATGTATTGGCTTCAATTTTAACCACCCTGTTTTATTAATTAAAAATTAATTAAATGACCATTCTCCAAATTAGTAAAATATATGTGCTGCTGAAGCAGGCACTCGAAGTTAGAAAAATAAACGAGTGTTCTGTGATGTCCTTTTTTAACTTTGGGTTTCTCAGTTACAGACATCTGTGGCAGAGTCTGAGGAACGCCTCAGTTCAAGAAGCCAAGCTATTTTGGACTCTTTGGAGACTGTAGCTAGGACATGTAAGTACTTCATATGTGGGGTTACCTGTGAGCAGAGGGTGCTGGTAAGCAGCCATCATGAACTTGCTGACCTTCGCTAGATTGCCAGGGCTGTGGCGCCTGATGTTTCAGGTACGAGAGCAGGTGCCTACAACTAGTCTGAAGAGGTGCGAAGCACACAGTAAGCTGGGTGGTAGGAGCCACCGCTCTGTGACAAAACTTTGGTTCTGAAATGTCTTTTGTGAAGCGCTTCTCCTCCTCAAGTAAGCCTGCTGTCCCAAGGGGCTCTCTCCGCCAGGTTTCTCATCTCGGTGGTGAAGTGAGTCAGCAGCGTCCCTAAATTCGCAAGGATCAGTCTCTGCTGTGCCGTCTACAGAGACACAGAAACACTGCTCCCTAAAACTTTAGGAATACTCCGGTCACCTGCTGTTCTTGCTGACTGCATTTCAGTGAGGGGTATTTTGTATTGGATCACAACATCATTCTCAATTTTAGCTGAAGTTTGTGATTTATAAAATCCCCTGCTCCCCCAGTGCGCGATTTACAAGTAGATGAAACCATTGCCTTTGCCCTTACAGAGGGGAGAAAACGTAATCCTCAGGCGGATGCTTCCCTAGATTCACTAGTTTCTGAGCAAAATAGAGAGTGTATGACTCTGCATCTGTACTTGTTTGGATTTGTCTGTGTTTATTTCTCATTTTGAATCAATTGAAGTCAACTTATTCAAATGTCATGGGATGAATTGTTCATGATTTACAAAAATTAATGCCTTTGTGTGGCATAGAAGTTAATCCCCATCTGTCCGCAAAGAAACACTGTACTGTCTGTCTGCTGGCTTCCACCCTGGGTATCCCACACACAGGCCAACTGTGCGTGTGTTTGAAAACTGGTGCTGGAACCCTAGGGATGCTGCCCCCACAAGAAGTAAGTAACAGTGCAGGAAGCAGAAGCAAATCACGGATGCTTCCTTGTGTAATGTGATGGATTAACTCGCTTGTAAGTGCCCAAGGAAAACGCTCTCTGTTAAGTAGCTTTCTGTCTCTATGACAGTAGTCACCTTACAGGGAGGAAAGGTGTGTTTGGGCTGACAGCCTCAGGGCTTCAGTCTGCGGTTGCCCGGCTCTGTTGCCGTGATGCTGTGGCAGCATGTCTGGGGAGCCTGTTGCTCTCGTGGTGGCTGGAAAGCAGAGGCAGACAGGAAGGGCCCAGCTTCCCAGTATTCCCTTTAAGGGTGCAACTTGAGGACCTAACTTCCTCCCATTGGGCTCTGTTCCTAAGGGCCCCCCATTTCTGAATAGTACCACTGCCTGGCAACCAAGCTTTCTTTCTTTTCATTTTTTTTTTTTTTTTAGTGTCAGGAATCGAACTCAGAACCTTGCACTTGTCAGGTAGGCACTTAGGCCACTGAGCTGTATCCCCAGCCTCTCAAGCTTTTAACATGTGAGCCTTTGGGAGACCTCCCAAGCCAAAGTATATTCTGTTTTTGTTCTACATTTAGAACTGAGTGAGCCAGGCATGGTAGCGCATGCCTATAATCCCAGCACTTGTGAGGCTGAGGCAGGAGGATCGTTGCAAGTTCGAAACCAACCTAGGCTACAAAATGAGCTCAAGGGCAGCCTGAACTGCATAGCGAGACCCTGTCTCAAAAAAGACTAAATAAATGGCAAATAAGATCACAGCAGAGAGAGGACTAGAACTGAATCTAGTTTATAGGAAGCACGGGGGTCTTGATTCTCATTTGTTTGTTTTCTGTTTTTGGAGACAGGGTCTTGCTATGTAGTTCAGGCTGGCCTTGAACTCACAATGTAGCCCACACTAGCCTTGAATTTAAGCAATCCTCTTGCCTCAGCCCCCCAAGTGCTGGGATTACAGGTGTGGGCTACCATGCCTGGGCCAAGGGGTCCTGATTCTTGGTCCCTAATAGTTCCTTTACTTTCAGAGGGTTAGACTCAAGAGAGGGACCCACACTGAGAAGGTAAATAATAACAAAAACAGTGGCATGATACTAACATTAATTAGAAGATAAGCCCTAAAGATATTGAGTCAAAAAGCTAAATTGGCTGAGAGTGTTGGTGCACACCTGTAATCCCAGCTACTTAGGAAGCTGAAACAGAATTGAAAGTTTGAACCCAGCTGGGGAGCTCAGTAAGACCTCTCTCAAATAAAAAGGGCTGGAAATGTAGCTCAATAGTAGAGAGCTGGCTTACGGTGCACAAGGCCCTGAGTGTGAGCCCAGTGTCCCCTTCTCCCCGCAAAAAGCCTAGTCATTCTTGAAAATGGGTACAAGTAGCCTTTCTGAAATCATTCCTTTTCTTGGTAAGTAATGATCAAGGGATGAAAGTTAGCAACCGAGAAAGGAACCAAAAGAATCTTCTATTGTATAGCTAGGCCCTCACTCACTGCACTTACCAGGGAAAGGGAACGTAAACGTACTGTGTGGACTGCTGTCTTGTGTTCATCTGCTGGGTGCCCGCATGGAAAAAGACCATGATATCTTTTCACAGGCAAAATCTGCCCGCTCATCCAGAAGTCTCGCTGTAGCCACCTAACTCCTTCAGCAAAGGACACCAAGGACCAGAGTAATAAAATAAATTAATCAGGCATCACATCCTACTTTACTTCAGGTTGAGGGGGGCCAATAAAATGGAGAGCAGTACTTCCACTGATAGGTATGAGTTACTTTCAAAATGATAGGGAGCCGGGCGTGGTGGCGCACGCCTGTAATCCCAGTACTCAGAAGGCTGAGGCAGGAGGATCGTTTGCAAATTCAAGACCAGTCTGGACTACAAAATGAGCTCAAGGCCAGCTTGAACTGCATGGCGAGACCCTGTCTCAAAAAGACCAAAAAAAAAACCCAAAAAAAAACAAAAAACCTCAGAAAGATGGGGATTAGGAAGTAAAAAGGAGTAGGCATAATCAAATTCAGAAAATGTCCCTTTTGGAAAATAAAGAACTCTATACATCAAAATAAATTCCATATAAATCAATATATTTTTAAAATTTTGTTATTTTGTCATTTTTATTAACACAGAGCATACTAATAAAACTATCTTTTTACAGGAATGTTTAATTTTATTTCTTCGCTCTTAATTTAACTAATGAATTTTTCCTTCCATCAACCCATGCAAGTACAGTCTCATTCTTTTCTTAGAGCTCTCACAGCTCTCCCAAACACCTGGATTATTGGAAAACTAAGTTTCTGATCAAATGGTTTTTCGTTGAAAGTATTAACAAAGTTGGCGTTTACCTAGATGAGTTTTTTGGTTTTTGTGTTTTTGGTACCGGGAACCAAACTCAGGACCTTGCACTTGCCAGGCAGTGCTGCTGAGCTATATCCCTGGCCCTAGATGAATTTTTTAAAAAGGGAAAAAGTGCAAATTACTAAAGTCAGGAACAAAAGAAAAGGCACTGCTACTAACCTTACAGAAATAAAAAGGACTACAAGACAATACCATGAATCACTAACTTAGATTAAATGGAGAAATTCCTAGAAAGACACAAATTACTGTATCTGACTCAAAAAGAAATAGGAAATCAAAATAGACCTAATAAGTAGAAAGGAAATTGAATTAGTGATTAAAAAGCTTTGGGCAGCTGGCTTGACAGATAAATTCTACAGAAGGAGAGAGAGAAGGGTTGTATTCTCATGAAGGGTTAGGGAGGGACTGAACATTTGCTGAACGCCAGTCTATGCATTCATCTTCCCTTTTACTCCCACTTGAGTTTCATGTCCCTTTTTCATGGTTAGTTCCTTGGGATGGCCCATCCTTTGCTGGAACTTCAGCTAGGTGTCTTAAAACTATCTTTTGTATTTGTCCAGCTTCTAAGAGTTTGTGGAGTATTTTGCCATCCTGTTGCTGGTGGTATGTATCAAAGAAAGGTAATATAACAAAGCTGGGGCCTCAGCACATGTCTAAAGACTTTTCATATCCCCTCTTTGGATCACACTATGGTTGCCTTTAAGTAAATGCCCTCCTAGTACAGTATGTCTCAAACTGTTCATCATGATCACAGTAAGAAATATACTTTTGTATGTTTTTGTTTGTATGCTCAGTACACATATATGTAATTCAGAAAACATTGACCCTAACTAGGTGGAATGCACTCTGATATTTGCTGCTTTTGTTTTTTGAGACAGGATCTTGCCATGTAGTTCAGACTGGCCTTGAACTCACTATGTAACCTAGGCTAGCCTCAAATTTGTGATCCTCCTGCCTCAGCCTCCTACAGGTGTGCACCATCACACCCGGCCTCACAGTCCTTTTTTTACTTCTAATTTTGAGACAGGTCTAGCTAATGTGCCCAGTCTGGTCTCAAACTTGAGATCCTCCTGCCTCAGCCCCCTAGAGTGCCGGAATTACAGACATAAGCCAGCACACCTAGCTGGTTTATCTTTAATGTATTTCCCAAATTTATCTGGCTGTCAAACTCTTTTGTAGGACCTTGCAGAAAAAACACTGGTAAACTCTGCCTTGGATGAAATAAATCTTATCTTTTGTGTTTCTGTAACTGTAGCTTTTAGTTTAACTCATCAAGCAAGCACTCTAAGAACTTAGTCACATTCTCCAGTGAATTAAGAATTTTTTTCTTTCTTTTTGAGACAGTATCTTGCTGTCTTGGTTACTTTTTTCTTGCTGCTGGGACAAAATACCTGACGCCCAAAATTAAGGAAGGAAAGGTTTATTTCACTTACAGTTTGTGGAGGTTTCAGTCCGTACTTGGCAGATTACAAGGCAGAGTGGCACATGGCAGAGAGCTACAGCCCAGGGTGGCAGACACAGCAAAAGCAACTAGCACACACCAGGGTGGAATTGGGGAGGAATCACTTCAAGCACCCTTTTTCTCTCCCTTACATATGCACACTATCCACCCCAGGGCGGGTGCAGCTCTCATACCCCTAATCAATCAAACTTTAAAAGCCTGCCTCATGGCCGCCATGAGACTTTGGAGGGACACCCAGACATAAACCATAACACTTGCTATGAAGTTCAAACTGGCCCTGAGCTTACTATGTATCCCAGACTGGCTCGAACTCATGGCTATCCTGCCTTAGCCTCCCAAGTGCTAGGATTACAGGCGTGCACCACCACGCCTGGCTCTCCAGAATGTTATCTTTAACCAAGGTTACCATAAACTGTCACTATCCAGTAAACCATATTCATGTGACTTTCCTTTCGGTTGACTCTTCTATCTCTTAGGTAGTACACAATTACTTATTCCCACTTATTTGTAAATTACCTTGTGATTTCAAAGAAATTTCTTAGCTTTTATTTTTTTTAATTTTTTTTTCTTCTTAGCTTTTATTCACTGAATGATTTATTCAGTTAGAAAACTTTTCATGTTAAAATACTTCCTGCAAAAAGAAAAAAAAAATACTTCCTGCAAAAATTAATGCTTTTTTTCCAAATCGTTGTCTTAACTTTGTTGCCTTAAAATGTAGTAAGATTTTGGGCATGGTGGTGCACCCCTCTAGTCCCAGTACATGGAAGCTGAAGCAGGAGGACTGCTGTGAGTTTGGGGCCAGCCTGGGCTACATGGAGAGAACCTGTCACAAAAAAAAAAAAAACAAGCTAGGCGGGCATGTGGTGCATGCTTGTACTACGAGTACTCCGGAGGCTAAGGCAGGAGGATCATTGTGAGTTTGAGGTCAGCCTGGACACATAGTGAATTCAGGGCTGGCCTGAACTACATGGTGAGACCCTGTCTCAAAAAAACTCCAACCAGGGGCTGGGGATTTAGCTCAGCGGCAAAGCGCCTGCCTGGCAAGCGGAAGGTCGTGAGTTCGGTTCCCGGTACCAGAGAAAAAACTAAAAAAAAAAAAAAAAAAAAAACTCCAACCAAAATAAATAGTCGGGCACACACCTATAATCCCAGTACTTGGGAGGCTGAGACAGAGGCTCATTGGGAGTTTGAGGCCAGCCTGGACTGCATAGCGAGACCCTGTCTCCCCAAAAATGAAAGAAAGCAAGCAAGCAAGCCAGGTGTGGTGGTGCACACCTGTAATCCCAGTACTTGAGAGGCTGAGGCAGGAGGATCTCTGCAAGTTTGAGGCCAGCCTGGGTTACACAGTGAGCTCAAGGTCAGCTTGAACTGCATAGTGAGACCCTGTCTCAAAAAAAGCAAAAATAAATAAAAGTAGGGACATAGTACAAAAATGAGAACACAGCCTCTTTGTACTTAATTGACACACAGAATTGGACTTGTCGAGGAAATCTGCTTTCTAAAATATTCTTACTCTTTTTAAGTAAAGTTGAATGTTTTATTATTAAATTGTTTCTTATTTTGCTGCAAAGCTGTAGGCTTCACTGTATAAAAATAACACTACGAAGCCAGGCATGGGGGTGCAGCCTATAATCTTAGGCAGGCTGAGGCAAGAAAGTGAAGCTCAGCCTTGGCAATTTAGTGAGACTCTGCCTCAAATTAAAGAAAGAAATTGGGGTTGGGGATACAGCTCAGTGGCACAAGCACTTCCTTGGCAAGCACAAGGTCCTGAGTTCTAGTCCAAGTACCAAAAAAAAAAGGGGGGGGTGGATTATCTCAGTACAAATCTGAATCTCTAGTAGTGCAAAAAAAAAATCACCGTCATGTACAGCATATTGTTCTTCACCCAACACTGCATAACAACCAAAAAACCATTTTTTTTCCTCTCTCAGTTATTTCCAATAGGAAAACCATTGTTTTAGCCCAAATCCAGGGGTAGATACAAGCACATTATAATATATAAGACTTGAGATAACAGTGTTACCCTTATAGATCCTTATACATCTTGGGGTTTTTGTTTGTTTTTGAGATATGGTTCTGCTGTGTTGCTCTTGGACTCAAGCCATCCTCCTGTGGCAGCCTGACAAATGCTGAGACTATATATAGGCCTGTACCACCATCTCCGGCTTTCAGCTCCCACCCTCAGATCTGGGAATTGAACCTAGGGCCTTGCTCTGAGCTGCATCCCCAGCTTTTTTTTTGTTTTGTTTTTTGTTTTTTGTTTTTTTCCGGTACCGGGAACCAAACTCATGACCTTGCGTTTACCAGGCAGGCGCTGTGCCACTGAGCTAAATCCCCAGCCCCTCCCCAGCTTTTTTTTAAATTTTAAACTGCCCAGGCAGGACTCAAACTTAGGATGCTCTTGATTCAGACTCCTAAATAGCTGGGATTACAGGTGTCCAACACCATGCCCAGTTAGGTTTTTTAGAAACTATTTTTATTTTTTGTCTTTTGTCTTTTTGAGACAGGGTCTCACTATGCACTTGAGGCTCTCCTTGAGCTCACTTTGTAGCCCAGCCTGGCCTCGAACTCACAGTGATCCTCCTGCTTTAGCCTCCCGAGTGCTGGAATTGCAGGTGTGCGCCACCATGCCAGGCACAATTTGGTTCATTTCTGATCTCAGTTCTGTACTGTGATCTTCCACTTTATTATTTGAACTGCAAGAAGAATGCTCTTTGGTTTGTTGGGGGTTTGTTGGTTTTTGAAACAGGATCTCAGCTCAGGATGGCCTTGAACTCACTATATAATCCAGACTGACCCAGAGGATCTGGGTGATCCTCCTGCCTCAGCCTCCCAAATCCTGGGATTACAGGCATGCGCCACCTTGCCAAAGAGTGCTTTTTTTAAAAAAATCAATATCACGTGCCATGTACTTTTAGCAGTTTAAGACATAATTTATATGCCATATGGTTTACTCATTTAGAATATAGATTTCTTTTTAAAGTGTTTTATTAGTGCACATTTGCAGTACATGATCACATTCACTGTGCACAGTTGCGACATGTACATAGCGCATCTTAATTCTTTTTATGTCCGCTTCCCCTCCTTTCCCTCCCTTTGAGAGAGTGCCTTTTAAAGAGAAAGGGCATTGTGCCAGCTTTCTGCCTGATTGTCAGTGACTAAGTCTTAGAGTCCAGCCTGCAGATCTTGACATGGCACACATAGCCCCAGGCCCTGTCCCCGCTCAGCTCATGCTTCCTCCTATGGAGGCGTTTGTCTTCTGTTGGTTAATGATGGTTGAGCTAAACATCAGCTCCTTAGGGAAGTCTTGCCTCATCCTTGAGGTAGACTAGCCCGAAGCTCAGTGTAGTTTTCCCCTAGCGCACTTATCACACCCATAAATAGCTCTTTGTATAATTACTAATTGACTGCCTGTTTTCTCTGCTAAGACTAATTTCAGTGCTGGGCATGGTGGCATATGCCTGTAATCCCAGCACTTGGGAGGCTGAGACAAGAGGATCGTTGTGAGTTTGAGACCAGACTGGGCTACAGAATGAACTCAAGGCCAGCCTGAACCACATAGCAAGACCCTGGCTCAAAAAAAAAAAAGACTAATTTTAAGAGAGCTGTATCTTTCTCAAACCAGTGTGGTGGCACACACCTGTAGTCCCAGCACTCAGGAGGCTGATGCAGGATTGCCTTGAGTTTGAAGTCAGCCTAGAATACATAGCAAAACCCTGTCTCACAAAACAAAAACGAACAAGAGAGGCTTATCTATTTTTTTAGCTTTATCTTTCTTGATTACTGTTATGTCTATAGTGCCTGGCACATAGAAGATGCTTATTAAATATTTGTTAAATGTAAAAGCATCTTTATATAACCTCTAGTCTAGCAAGATGGTGGCAATAATTAATTGCAGCACAATGTGTTACTAAGTGTGGTGTGAAAGCAAGCCATTTGGGTCCAAGTGTAAACAGGAAATAACTGTAGGGTGGCTCATGATGCTAGAGCCAGTGCCACCAGCAGAGAGGAGGAGCAGCCCCCCCCCCAGGAGTGGGAGTGTCCCAGGGAGGTGACTACAAGAGCAGGAAGAATCGGAATTAGCTGGACTGAGGGGGTGGCTGGGAGAGAGGAAGGCGTGAGGGGAGTAACAGTGGGAGTATCCAAGCAGAGGGATGAGCATGCATGGAAGACAGTAAGACACAAAGCCCAGAGATGAGCGGTGGGGAATAAGTAAGCCTGGGGCTTGTTAGCCAGCTGAAAGATTAGGGCTGGTGGCACACATCTGTAATCCCAGCACTCAGGATGCTAAAGCATCACAAGTTCAAGTCCCACCTGGGTAATTTAGCATGACCCTGTCTGAAAAATTAAAAAGGGTTGGAGATATAGCCTAGTGTGAAGGTCCTGGGTTCAATTCCCAGTACCAAAAAAAAAAAAAAAATGGACTTGCCAGATGTGGTGGTGTATGCCCGTAATCCCAGCACTTCGGAGGCTGAGGCAGGAGGATGCTTGTGAGTTAGAGCCCAGCTTGGGCTACAAAGTGAGTTCAAGGCCAGCCTGCACTGCATAGCGAGACCCTATGTTAAAGTGGGAGGATCACAAGTTCAAGTCCCATCTGCATAATTTAGCATGGCCCTGTCTGAAAAAAATAAAATGACCAAAAAAAAAAAGGACTGCTCAATGGCCAGTGGGATGCCATGAACAAGTGAAGGTCGGGGGTACGAGGATACCTGCATTCTACAAAGATCACGCTGACGGCAGGCCCAAGAAGGAAGGCTAAGGGGCCCGGTCCTGTCCTTTGCTTAGGTGGCAGATTCTCAAGGTCCCTAGCAGGTTCTGATACTGGCCAGGCCCTTCTCAGGGAGGGAAAGAGAAAGCACGAAGAGGCCTCCCTAGCTGGCGAGGACGGGCTCCTGGTGCTAGGAGAGAAGGCCGGAGGGGCCCGTACGGGCCTCGTTCCTCCCTTCCTGCTGCCGTGCCCGGGAGGGGGACGCGTCGCCGTCCTCACGGGTGAGTGCTCACTGTTGTCCTGTGTTTAGTGCAAGAGACTGCACGGGCCCAGAGCGACGCGAGGTTTGAGGCGGTACAAGAGCAAGGCAAAGCGGAGCAGGCCATCCTTGAGATGCAGAGGAAATTCGAAGCTGTAAGTACAAATCTCAGATTCCTTGTTGGAGTTTACTTTTGGCTTTGTAACTGAGACCCAGGGGATAAGTAAAAGCTGCACATCTTCAGCCGAGGCCAGAGGCCAGCACAGGCCCGTGGGAAGGAGCCGGGGTGCGGGCCCGCCGGGCCTCCTCGCGTGTCACTGTGCCCTTCCGCGCGCTGCGCCTGAGCCGCATTGTCGCCGCTTCTCCTCAGACACGAGCAGAGTTTACGGAGGTGAAGTCCAGCCTGAGGCGCCTCGAGCTCTCGCTCGCCCAGCAGACTGAGGACCGCCAGCGGCTGCGTGAGCGCCTGGGCCAGCTGCCTGTGCCCGCCGTGCTGGCGGCGCGGGGGCCCGGCGCGCTGGGGGACAGCGCTTCGCAGACGTCGCCCTCCCTGGCGCGGAGCCCGGGTCGCGGACGCGGCGGGGCGTCGAGGGTGACACGACACTGAGGGCTTAGGTCCTCCCAGGCCTTGGGGTGGGGTTGCCGGACCCCGGCTCCCCGAGGGGCCCGTGCCCGGCACCCTCCGCGGTTCCTGGGCGGGGGCGGCCGCGCTTCGGGTGCCG